GTCTCCCTCGTTCCCCTTCTCCAGGGATTATTTTCGTCATGCTTTTCCAGCTCGTTCCGCGTTAGCATATAATTCCATTATAATCATAAATTTAAAATGCAAGCCATTCACCTTTGTTTGTGTTAGACTGGTGGCAGCTGATAAAACCAGTTTGCTCTACTGACGTCTAACTCCTGGTGAACTCAGCTGGTAGAGCGCTCCAGTGGAATTGGAGAGGTCCCTGGTTCGATACCAGGACCAGGCGGATTTTTTCGGTCGCGTACCAGTCAGCTAGCTGTGTTTGGAAATTTGTGTTTGCCCAAATTGTCTCCCTCGTTCCCCTTCTCCAGGGATTATTTTCGTCATGCTTTTCCAGCCCGTTCCGCGTTAGCATATAATTCCATTATAATCATAAATTTAAAATGCAAGCCATTCACCCTTGTTTGTGTTAGACTGGTGGCAGCTGATAAAACCAGTTTGCTCTACTGACGTCTAACTCCTGGTGAACTCAGCTGGTAGAGCGCTCCAGTGGAATTGGAGAGGTCCCTGGTTCGATACCAGGACCAGGCGGATTTTTTCGGTCGCGTACCAGTCAGCTAGCTGTGTTTGGAAATTTGTGTTTGTCCTAATTGTCTCCCTCGTTCCCCTTCTCCAGGGATTATTTTCGTCATGCTTTTCCAGCTCGTTTCGCGTTAGCATATAATTCCATTATAATCATAAATTTAAAATGCAAGCCGTTCACCTTCTTTGTGTTAGACTGGTGGCAGCTGATAAAACCAGTTTGCTCTACTGACGTCTAACTCCTGGTGAACTCAGCTGGTAGAGCGCTCCAGTGGAATTGGAGAGGTCCCTGGTTCGATACCAGGACCAGGCGGATTTTTTCGGTCGCGTACCAGTCAGCTAGCTGTGTTTGGAAATTTGTGTTTGTCCTAATTGTCTCCCTCGTTCCCCTTCTCCAGGGATTATTTTCGTCATGCTTTTCCAGCTCGTTCCGCGTTAGCATATAATTCCATTATAATCATAAATTTAAAATGCAAGCCATTCACCCTTGTTTGTGTTAGACTGGTGGCAGCTGATAAAACCAGTTTGCTCTACTGACGTCTAACTCCTGGTGAACTCAGCTGGTAGAGCGCTCCAGTGGAATTGGAGAGGTCCCTGGTTCGATACCAGGACCAGGCGGATTTTTTCGGTCGCGTACCAGTCAGCTAGCTGGGTTTGGAAATTTGTGTTTGTCCTAATTGTCTCCCTCGTTCCCCTTCTCCAGGGATTATTTTCGTCATGCTTTTCCAGCTCGTTCCGCGTTAGCATATAATTCCATTATAATCATAAATTTAAAATGCAAGCCATTCACCCTTGTTTGTGTTAGACTGGTGGCAGCTGATAAAACCAGTTTGCTCTACTGACGTCTAACTCCTGGTGAACTCAGCTGGTAGAGCGCTCCAGTGGAATTGGAGAGGTCCCTGGTTCGATACCAGGACCAGGCGGATTTTTTCGGTCGCGTAGCAGTCAGCTAGCTGTGTTTGGAAATTTGTGTTTGTCCTAATTGTCTCCCTCGTTCCCCTTCTCCAGGGATTATTTTCGTCATGCTTTTCCAGCTCGTTCCGCGTTAGCATATAATTCCATTATAATCATAAATTTAAAATGCAAGCCATTCACCCTTGTTTGTGTTAGACTGGTGGCAGCTGATAAAACCAGTTTGCTCTACTGACGTCTAACTCCTGGTGAACTCAGCTGGTAGAGCGCTCCAGTGGAATTGGAGAGGTCCCTGGTTCGATACCAGGACCAGGCGGATTTTTTCGGTCGCGTACCAGTCAGCTAGCTGTGTTTGGAAATTTGTGTTTGTCCTAATTGTCTCCCTCGTTCCCCTTCTCCAGGGATTATTTTCGTCATGCTTTTCCAGCTCGTTCCGCGTTAGCATATAATTCCATTATAATCATAAATTTAAAATGCAAGCCATTCACCCTTGTTTGTGTTAGACTGGTGGCAGCTGATAAAACCAGTTTGCTCTACTGACGTCTAACTCCTGGTGAACTCAGCTGGTAGAGCGCTCCAGTGGAATTGGAGAGGTCCCTGGTTCGATACCAGGACCAGGCGGATTTTTTCGGTCGCGTACCAGTCAGCTAGCTGTGTTTGGAAATTTGTGTTTGTCCTAATTGTCTCCCTCGTTCCCCTTCTCCAGGGATTATTTTCGTCATGCTTTTCCAGCTCGTTCCGCGTTAGCATATAATTCCATTATAATCATAAATTTAAAATGCAAGCCATTCACCCTTGTTTGTGTTAGACTGGTGGCAGCTGATAAAACCAGTTTGCTTTACTGACGTCTAACTCCTCGTGAACTCAGTTGGTAAAGCGCTCCACTGGAAATGGAGAGGTCCCTGGTTCGATACCAGGACCAGGCGGATTTTTTCGGTCGCATACCAGCATGTTGGAGGTAACGCGTTACTAGTAACGACTTTACTGGTAACGCGTTACATTTTTCGCTAACGCAGTAACGTATTCGTTAGTATTCTGAATGACTGACGAGTAAAGTATTTCCGTTACCTTTTTACGGTATCGGCTGCCAAATTTCGTTACTCGTTACTCGTTACTTTTGACCAGAACTGGTGAAATCCAGTCTTGGGTAGTAACGCGTTACTAGTAACGCGTTACTGTAACTTAGTTACTTTTTTGGTAACTTGTAACTGTAACGAGTTACTTTTTAAAAATGTAACTTGTAACTGTAGTTCTATTACCTTTTTCTGAGGTAACGATGAAAGTAACAACGTTACTTTTGTCGTTACTTTCCAGTGTTTTACGAATAATATATCACTGAACGAGTGCAATTTATAAATTCCTTGCGCTTTTCAAATCGTCTATTCCGACATTTCGAGTGTCAAGCTGGCCTTGCACAAAGTTGTGAATACGTTTTTTCTCGCGAGTCACGACCCGAATATAGCCACGTGTATATTTTATGAAAGAAAAAATCTAGTTATCTTTAAGCACGCGCTTGTTCTTTGTGACTGAACACTTACATCTTAGTTTCTTAAAGCACTATCTATGTTGTGGTTGTTTTTTTTTTCTGTGCGAACGCTTTTAATCGGGTGAACCAACCGTGAAACAACAATACACGTGTAGGGCACTGCGCATGTCTCGTATTTTGATTTGCGCCACTACTCTGGCATGGTAACTTTCAAACACTAACTTCGAGACGCAACTGCAGCTAAGTTACAATATGAAGTAAAAATCGTACTTTTTAATTTTATGCAATAAAACGTCGTGAGGGGCGTTTTCTAGTTTTCTTCTCATTTTTTGTGTTATAGAAAAGTAACTGAAAAGTAACGTCGTTACTTTTTAAAAGTAACTGTAACTGTAACGAGTTACTCTTTTGTTGCGGTAACTGTAACGGTAACTTCGCTACTTTTTTCTGAAAGTAACTGTAACTGTAACGAATTACTTTTTAAAAGTAACTTACCCAAGACTGGTGAAATCCCGCACGAGCTTATCTCAAAATCCTGCACCAGCCGATCGCTGGACGGAACCAGCATCCGTCACAGTAAAGTTAAAAAGAAACTCACTTCTCGAAGTCGAAAAAAACCTTCGGCTACCAGCTAATTCCGTTCATCCTCCTTTTTTTTTTTTGTTTTTTTCATAGTGTCATTTTTTACAAGGTTTGAACGAACGACTGCGTTACAGCCTCCTCCCCTCCCTCCTCTTCCTCCCTGCTTTGTGCAGCAAAAGTGGACAGCGGGGCGAGGGGGGGAGGGGGGGGGTGGAGAGATATGCGTTTACAACAGTGGACGACTAGTGGCGAAGCCCCCCCCCCCCCCCCCCCCCCCCCGATTTGCTCATTTCTCTAGTTTAAACAAAAACAAAGAAACACCCTTTGTGGAATATTTTTGTCCTCGCTCACCCCCTCGCTGCCTGAAGGTTTCTGACCCACTTTTGTACACAGAAGAATCTGTCGCTTGAATAGTCTTTAATTCCCTAAGGTCATGATAAAAAAATAAAAAAAAAGTTTTAAACCTGGAAAGAAAACTTACAAACACGAAACCTTTTTTTTTTTTTTCACAGAAAAACTAAGAGCTACTGCTGGTAAGAGGCAGCAAGTGGTTATAGCCAGTGCGCTGGTAACCGGTGTCCTTTTCCAGATAGTGAAGTAAATCAGTCTCTGGTAATAGTATGAACCGGACTGTTACGAAAACCGGCGTATAGATGAGGGGTGTTGGTTGGCTGGTTGTGTTCCAGCAGTCCTCGTTCGCACGCTGTAGTTTATAAAAGCCGATTGACTAACATCTCCGACTCATTCTGCGCGCGAGATGGGTATGAATAACGAAAGCCCGTCGCCATGGACAGCAGGTCTGAATGATATGTATCAACTAAACGAGACAGAATCAGGTAATTTACAGTTTCAATGCCTAATCTGCATGCCGAAAATTAAGCTGCTTCGCGCGTCAAAACACTATGAAACCACTCTGTAAATTTTTATTCTTATCCAAGCTTGTTAAGGAGGCTTATCATACATCTCTGCCAAACATATGTACTCGAACAAAAAAGTAACGTAAAAGTAACGTTCGTTATTTTTGAAAAGTAACGGGAACGGTATATCGTTACCTTTGTAAAAAAGTAACGTAACTCGATAACGCGTTACTTTTTACCAAACTAACGAGTAACGCTATTCCGTTACTTTTTTTTCGCTAACGGGCACAACACTGCATACCCGTCACCTAGCTGTGCTTGGAGATTTGTGTTTGTCCCTTGCCTCCTTTGTTCACCTTCGCCAGGGATTATTTTCGTCCTTGTTACACCTTTGTTGCAAGAGAAGGTCAACGAACAAACCGCAAACCTAAATTACGGGGTATACTAAAAGTTCATCAGAAGTATACTTCCCAGTTCCAGTACAATATAAATACACCTGTGTTTTTTTTTTTTTATAAAGGTACAAAATTGGTATACTTTCAGCGTATTGCTTTTCTTAAGGGACGGGTAAATTGAGGAACTCGACTTTAGGATTATCTCTTTGACGAACCTCCTTCTCCTAACAGGATATGGAAGCAGATCGGAAAACCATGTTTTGTACGAAGAAAAAAACAAGTGCTATATATTGTACAATCCTGAAACTGAACGTGAGTCTTCCTTTGTGTTATACCGTTAACTATATCAGAGCTGATATTTGCTTCTTACATAAAGATATAGTCCATGTCAAAGACGGTTATGTAGAGCCCACCCAGACCATTGAAGTTCGTTCTTTTTTCCTTCGCTAAGTAACCGAGCTTCTTTACATTCGTACCTTCAGCGAAGCATGCTAACTCTCATTCAAAATGGTGTTTCTTTCGTTTGTTTTCTGTTCGTATTAATGCCACGTGCGTCGCCGAGTGAACGCGTGCGTGGCCGAATGGTTACAGTCATGTGTTTTTGCTACTGCTGAAGTACCGCAGGGTTACCATGGCCTTCTGCCTCCCCTGCCGACAAATACTGTTCTTTACACCATCGTTTTTTTGTTTGTTTTTTTTGCTGTTGTTTTGTTCTTTTAACATTTCTGGCCGGCTATACAAAATTGGCGACTTTAAATCAGGGTTTGAGAATGCTGGACTTATAAAACACCTTAAAGCCTGCGGTTAATTTCAAATGAACCATGTGTGGTTGGCCACCTTCCACTCGCTGGTGGCCAAGCAGAAGATTCTGGAAGCAACAGAGCCTTTGGTCAAGGAAACACGCTGTCTCGGGCTCAACCCCAACAAGGCCAAGGTGCGGTTGAAACTGCATTGGGTGCCCTGCGACCTTTTTGGCGGTGTCTGGCATCCGGAGGGCTCTCAAGCTCTACGGGAGGGTCGAAGGGTCACCCGAGAAGCCTGGCACGAGGACGGTTGCGGCTGACGCTCACGGAGGATGTCATTCAAGAGAAGATCCCGCATCACAATGCCTTGTGCATGGTACTGCCCTCGTGATCGCCACAGGGAGCCGCCCCAAGTGCCAGCACTGCCGAAGTACGGGACACGTTCAACGACAGTGCAAGGTGTCGCGATGCGTACTTTGCCGGTGCTTCGGACACGAAAAAAAAGACTGTATCGAGACATACGCCACGGTAACAGATAATGGGGCTGACGACGAGCTGACCGAGCACTTGATGGAGAAGGAAGAGGCCGAGGTCGCGGCAGGAGGCAACGCTCCGGTCAGCGTCATCAACAACCCGCCGCTGCTCGTCTTGAATCCAGCAGGCTCTGCAAACACCGCCGCATCTTTCGCTGCGTCATTCCAAGCTACGACAAACAAGAGAAAACTGAACACCAACAGTGTTGAAGGCAACGTGCTTCTGGAGGGCACTACTCCCCAGCAGAAAGCGACAAACGACCGGAGATGACGAAGCCAGCGACGTCGAGCCGATGGATACAACACTGCCGGACATGCTCAACGTGTTTGGGGAACGTCCAGAAGGCGTCGATGATGCAAGCGCGTATGAGGAAAATCAAGGGTTAACCGACCAACGCTTCAAGTTGAAGGCCTCCAGCCAGTGGAGGCACCGGTTTCACTCAAAGCCCCGTATTCCAGAACCTCGCCAGCCAAAGGACTCTCAGTAGATGTCCCTTACAGTTTTTCCGTTTACTTCGTTTTTTTTTTTTTTTGTATATTTGTTGTGAATGTCATGACGGGCGGCGGTAAACTTAAAACCATTCAACGAGTGCATGACGCGCCTTAATGCTCGTACATTTAACGGTGTGAGCTTGATTGTTCGGAAGAGGAAGCAATGATTTCTAAACATGCTTTTGAGCTAGCGAATTGACGTAGCTCTGCTGCAGGAAACGAAGCTCACTTCCGGACATGTCGAGCAACCGTCAAGCTCTTTTTAAAACCTTTATGAATTTCGTCCCTCTTGCGCCATATCATACAGTGCCAGCACGGCAGTCATCATTCGCAAGCACAAAGGCATAGCAGTTCTTCCAGACTGGGAGACTTACCAAAGCGGCCTCGTTTGTACCATAGACGTGCTATAACAGAACGACATCTTTCGAGCCTTGTCGGTGCACGTGCCGAATCAGCCCACGGAAAGGAAAGCCTTCTTTATTTATCTCCAGTCATTTTTATTTATGACCAGCCATTTTAGGGGGCGATTTTAACTGTGTGCTAAAGGCTAAGGATTCCTCACGAGGCCTCCAGCAGGCTCCAGTACGACGGAGCTTGAAATCCTGCTAAGAGATTTTGACTGCCAGGACGCAGCCGACTTCGTGGACTCCCCTATCTTCGTATAGACGCACGGGCAGGGAGAGTGTCATGCACAGCTTGACCGGATTTATCTGTCGAGTTGCTTTGCAGCAATAACTACCGGCTATCGCATTAGCCCTGTAGCCTTTTCGGACCACGCGATGGTTGCGACCAAGAAAAGCGAAACATAAAACAAATCAGAAGCGCCCGTGGCAAACCTGTAAATTAAACGAGAAGGCGTTCTAGGACGGGCATCTGCAAAATGTGATAAAATACCTCATCACGAACATGACGGAGAGTAAAGAGGAACACGCGGTCAACTGGGAGTTACTAAAGGAAGAAATTAAAATGTCCACAATATCATTTTGTCAATCGAAAGGGTTAAAGCGACGCGCCGAAAAGCAACGGCTGAGTGCATGTTACTGCACATGTTAGTGAGAGAGGAAAGTACAGCTCCTGGACATTTTGCGTCAGATATTGAAGAGTATAAATCCCGTCTGTTTGAGCGCATAGAAACAGATTACCGCGGAGCAATGGTCTGGTCTCGTCTACCCACGCTAGGTAGGGCAAAAGACTTAACGAATCTTTTTTTTTTTTCTTTTTTTAACGCGTGAGAGTGAATGAACGAGGCGGAACCATATCATTGAACTGCAATCAGGGAAGAGTATTTTTTTTAAAGCCTAGGAAATTGAGGGGGAATTAGTTTCATTTTATAGCAGAATGTTCAATCAACCTAACGGTTGCGATCAGGCTCTAATGGACAAGTCTTTAGAGGTAATACGCAACGTTCTAGAAGAGGTAGACGATATTAATAATGAAAGTATTACCGAGGCAAAGGTATGTAAAACTATAAAAAAATTGGTGCCTAAGAAGTCACCTGGGGTAGACGGCATCGGAGCGAGTTTCTATAAACAGTTGTCTGCCGAGTGGGCTCCTATACTGGCCAAGGTTTATGCGGACGTTCATACAAGAAACCTACTCCCTCCTTCCATGAGACAAGCGTAATCAGTGTTGATTGTTGGGCGAGTTGGTATTGTAGGTGAGAAACCATGATTGTGTTTTAACAAAAGGACGGAAAAAGAACTGACACGACATAGAGCTAACTTTCAACTCATTTAATCCAAGAGCCTTGGCGTAGATACACACAACGAAACCGCACCACATCTCAACCAATCCTTGGCCCCGCCACGGACCGCAAATGTCTGCCAAGTCAATTGAAGCCACGCTATACAACACGTGACGGAACTATTGATGGCGTCCGCCTTAAAGGGGCGGTGCAACGATTTTATGATTAAAAGAATTTGCATCTCGTCATTTTCACGTTGTTTATCGTGTCCCAGAGGATAGAGAAAACACTTCCTTCATTTAAAATGTCGCGATTCCGCTGCATAATCGCAAAGTAAAAGTCGAGCTTTTTCCCCCACCTGCAGCCCCAAGTGGCAGCCGAAGGAACTACGGCGGAAAGTTTACGTGACCTCGCTCGGCTCTAAGCTGCAGCATAGCGCCCGCTAATGTACGCAGAGAGAGGGAGGGGAAGCGTCCTCCGAGATAGCACACGGGAAGCTACACGGCACTCCGAATGACGTCACTAGGAGGGGGACCAGGTGTGACCCTGAAGACTGGGAGTGAGTTGAGGGGTGCCCGAAATGCCAATCTTTATCTTTTTTTACGCAACAACTAGGACACGCAGGCGAAATCGGTTTTCTGTTCTTTACTTCAGAAGTGTCAGGGGGCAACTTTCAGAAATCTTTGACCGAAGTCCGAAAATCGTTGCACCGCCCCTTTAATAGTCACTTTCCGGAATTCAGTGCCATCTGGTGACTCAAACGGCAGTTTAACTTTTACCGTACTAATGGCGGCAATGAACCTGTGGTCTGCACCATTTTACGGGGCACCGTCACTTTCGGAGTTCCACAGTAAACAAGAATGCGCGGTTCACTGTACAGTTCTTTTTCAATCTCTTTCACTGTAGATGGCGAAAAAGATAACACCAGTCAGGACAAAGCGCCAGCCCACAAGCCTTGATAAAATTCTGTCCATCAAGGCGCTTTGAAGCCGAGTGGGTGCTACTAACAGATTGACTGGGTCCGAGTTAGAAATGAAAGCTTACGCTGCTCTTACATCCAATTCCCGCCTCACGTCGCGCTAACGACTAGAATGTATAGGCCTCTAATCATCTGCTTAAGAATATCCTCAACATCTTCCTTCATCAGTAAACAAAAGGCCGCCATTAGTATAGCACATAGGCCATTTTTCAGATGATGATAGTGATCTATGTGGTAAGACTGAATTCCGAAAGAGGTCTATTATCTCTAACAGTCTTATCCTCGTGCCTAGCGAGAACAGTGGAAGAAGCAAATATAGTTTGCATCTGCAGTCATGACAGTGACACGAAAGATGGCCATCCCGAACCCCGTTCACTTTCTGGTAGTGTTCTCTTAGCCGTACATTTAAACGTCTGCCTGTCTGGCCGACATATTTCTTTACATTTTAGTGAAAAACCCGAGACTGAGGTAAAGCAGACGACGAAAAAGAAGAGAACGTCTCAACCCACAGCTAAACCTTAATTGAGGAAAGCACCCTTTATATAGGGTTGAAAAAAGAAGGAAGGAAAGGGAACCCTTCTTCACATCACCTCTCTCCACAAAAGGTACGACATCAACTCTCTCCACCAAAGACACGACACCGGACCTCTAACAATCCGGGTTATTTTGTTCTTTTGATGGGGATCTCGGCCGACAAAAGAAAAAAATAGTAAGGACTTTTAAGAACAGTGACTTTACGTCCTTGGCTGCCAGACTGAATGGTAACTTGAAAGATGCGTTTGCCGTTAAGTTCTTTTTGAAAGACCACAAGGTTGACCTTCCTCTGAGAGTAGTTATCAACGAAGGTGGCACGTGGCAAAAAACTGTCTCCACGTTCCTCC